CAGAGTTGGTGCTGGAACCCGTTTGCCTCCCATGTGCCCAAGAACTGTTCTACAGAAGGGATGGAGTTTGTATTGAATGCCAGCCTTGAGCATTTCGCTATAGGCAGTTTGGCCCATTGAAAGTTTTGGAGGAGGAAAGCGATGGGATTTTGGCAATGTGATACCTTAGTATTCTGTGTGTGTGTGTGTGTGTGTGTGTGTGTGCGCGCGCGTGCGCGCGTGTGCGCGCCAGCTCATGCACACAGGTCTCTGCGTATGGAAGCCAGTGGTCAGCATCAGATATTTTAGTCAACTACTTACTACCCTATTTTTGTGACAGGGTCTCTCACTGAGAACCTGGAGCTCGACAGTTCAGCTTAGCTGGCTGGGGTGACCCAGAGATCTTCCCTTCTCTGCCTTGCCAGCACTGGGACCACAGGTGTGTGCTAGCATGCCAGTTTTCATTTTTTAAAAGCTATTTAAGATTTTTATTTTTCTAAGTGGGTTATCATCTAGTGAACTCAGGTCCTCATGCTTTATAGACTGAGGTATCTACCCAGCCTGACATTCTTTTTATTTCTCTGAAACTTAGGTTGGGGACCAGGGGACTAGAGGCCAGTCTGTACCTCTTTCTTGGGGAAGCCTTCAATTTGTCTTGATAATCCTACTCTGTTTCCCTGGGATTTTTACCTTTTTCTTTGAGAGAAAGAATGTGTGTATATGTGTGTGTGCAGAAGAAAACTTTGGCTGACCGTTGAGGATGGTGGCTTCCAGACATCAAAGTGGGCAGAGCCCCGGATGGATGGGCTGGAGGCAGGCCTGAGTCCCTTTAGGTTTTCCTTCCGAAGCTGGCAGAAGCCCTGGCGGGAACTTCTAAGACCCAGAAAACAAGTCCTTTCATGTGGCCTCCCTTTGAGCTGGCCTCTGGGTGGGGTCGGGGGCGGTGGGTGGAGGGTGGGGTGCGTGTGGAGAGGTGAGGCCACAGTCAGGTTGGGAAAACAGATTGGCCAGTGGCTGTGAGCACAGGGCGCCCATTGTGCAGCAAGCTCTTGCTTTCAATAACTGGCTCTGAAGAGTGTTTCATTGAATACCAGAGAAAGGGGCCATTGAAATGTCTGGGGCTGGGCTCCACGAAGGGTTAACAACAGGGGCTAAGTAGCTGAGGCTCTTGCTGCTCCTGGCTTAGACAGATGTTCCATACAGGAATCCTGATCATTAAGACGGGACTCGGGGAGACCACTCCGAGGGAAGAAAGCAAAGGTCAAGAGAATGTGTGGATTCCTCCAGAAATGCTAATGGGGGTCTCCATATAGGGAAGGAAGAAGCCCCCTCTTTCTTCTATGAGTCACATTGTCCAAGTAATACTTAGTAAGCAACAGGCCCCCTTGGGGACAGACAGACAGACAGACAGACAGACAGACAGACAGACACACACACACACACACACACACACACACACACACACACACACACACACACACACACAGAGCTTACCTCTCCGGGACTTTCTGAGACATACTAGATGCTCCACCAGTCTCCATGGAACAGCAAGCGTGGCTTTCTTAAACCACCCCTCATCTTTCTAATGGTCATTAACTATTATAATTACAACTGTCCTCCCGGAGAACATGGGCAGTCTGGCTAAGAACAGTTCCTAAGTCAGGTGACTGGGGAAATCTGGGGGCATTTCCTCCAAAAGGAGCAGCTGGTTAGAAGGTCACGGCTGGGCTGTCAGAGGGCACCAGAAGTGGGGTTCAGTACCTTATCCCCAGGACACCATGCATTGTTTGCAGCTCTGGAGAAGTGTGTGACCAGAGGTGGTGACACCTTTGAGATGCAGGCACCTGTGTGGAAGCTACAAAGAACAGGAAGAAGGTAGATGACTGTGATGGGCACACATGCTGGCTTGCTGTGAATAACCTCCAGTGTCACAATGGTGCAGCTCCTTGGTGGCCACAGGTCCCTTGGAGGACTTTACTCTTTCCAGAACCTATATCTGCAGGGAGGATGTCCTGCAACTGAAAGGGAATTTCCACTGTGCACTTTCATATTAACCATTCTGGATTAAAACAGCAGAGCAGGGGCCTGAGAGATGGCTTGTTTGGTAAAAGTTCTTGCCATGCAAACATGAGGATCTAAATTGGATCTCCAGGACCCACGTTAAAAAGCTGGGCATGGTGATGCACCTGTGATCTGCTGGGAGGCAGAGCCAGCAGGATCCCTGAGGCTCACTGGTCAGCCAGCTTAGCTGCTTCAAAGAACATGGTGGATAGTGTCCTGAGGAATGACATTCTGACCTTTGAGGACACAGACGCAGGCGTGCACGCGCACACGCGCACACACACACAAACACACACACACACAGAGTGAGGCATTCCTTGGCTTTCTTATAAACAGTCTCTAGAATAGGATTCAAATGCCCTATCACTTCCTCCATGCTGGGAGATGACTGGGCAAGGCCCCTGGGTCTGTTCTATGACTCTTTGCTATAGCGCCATGTGTTCCCAAATTCCCAGGCTTTTGGAATTCACCTGTCTGATTTTGTTTATTCATGTATTTCTTTCTAGTGCTTTTCTGTGTGCCTATGTTACTATAAAATAGGCGATCGCCTCCAGCCACCTTTACATATGTCCTCCAAGCTGTGTATGATACTCATGGACTGGAAATAAAACAATATCCTTGCAAGAATCATGTACAAAGTAAGGGGCAGAGGCTTAGAGTGAGGAAGGTTTGGGGGTCTCCCTTCCTAAATAAGGGGCTGGACTCTGTGATATGTCGAAGCCTGCTGTAAATCTTGTAAATCTCTGATATGTCCAGCCTTTCAAATGCCCTTCAGTGAGACGATGTCAGCATGCATAATCAGTAGATAGAGTCTTTGCCAAGGATTATAATTAGAAGGACGGATCTAGCTACATATGAAATAAGATCATTTTAGTTCAAAGCTGACTAAATATACATATATATCTATTGTCTCCCATGCATGCATGCTGTGTATGTGTACACACACACAGAGATGTGCACAGATATCACAGTGACAGAGTCACAAAACAGACTCATCCTGTTTTTGATTTTACTATCCGTGCCCTAAGAAGCTGCCTTTGAGACAAATGACTTGAATAATGACACTTCTAAGTTGGAAGGACCTTTCAAAGTCCTTTCCTATTGCTTTCCCTTGGTTCAGGAATCTCAAACAGGTGGGCATCTTACTCCTTTCTTGCTTAGATCTGGGAATGGGGAACTCACTTTTTTCGGAGTCTCACTTCATGGGTGGAAATGAAATCTCTGACAGCTAGGAAGTAACAGAGCTACACCCCTGCCATGTCTGATCTGCATTTCGTGGGAAGATGTTAAGTTTCTTGCAGTGTTTTGATGTGGATGTCTTGTGGGGGATAAGGGATAGGAGCACACTTATGTGAATGGGAAGCAGCCATTACTTGAGTGAGGTGGGCATCCATGATGGCAGTCATGTGAGGAGCAGCTAGGTCTGGAGGCATCAGAGTGTGCAAAGTCTGGCCTGGTGGTGGTGGTGCACGCCTTTGATTCCAGCACTCGGGAGACAGAGGCAGATGGATCTCTGAGTTCGAGGCCAGCCTGGTCTACAAAGTAAGTTCCAAGGCAGCCAGGGCTGTTACACAGAGAAACCCTGTCTCGGAAAAAACAAAACAAAACAAACAGCGAAAAAAGGAATGTGCAAAGTCTAAATTGATCACTCAGAGAGTGACATTGAACTTGAGATACTTTAATATTCTGTGTGTGTGTGTGTGTGTGTGTGTGTGTGTATGAGCAATGATGGACCTTATCCCAGGAAAGAGGGCAAGTACCCTGGGAAAGACATAAAAGATAACCAGCTCATTTTGAAAGCCACATGACCTGGATCTGCATTACACTGTGTGTTTATTTCCACCCTGTGGTCTCTGAGCCTTTGGAGACAGCTGCCTGAAATGTTCCACCCTGGCATCTTAGTATTTAAGAAGAAGCCTCGGGTCTGCATTTATTTCCCTAGAGTTTTGATGCAGAACGATGACTTCTGAGACACACTCTAGGTTTCCACTCTGGCTTTAGGGATTGCCAAAAGACTCTTAAAAGAAATATGGATATTGGGAAGCAAGAGCTGGGCCCCAGTAGAGCTCAACCCGATGGTAATTCACCCATTGCTGATGTCCTTTTGTTAAGCGAGCTGCCAGAGTGTGCTTACAAAAGTAATCCCTTAAATTGGCCTAGAGTCTGTGTCTGAGTGACTTTAACCCACAAGAGTCCTTAAGTGTATGGAGCAGAACAATCAGCTATCCATAGCCATTGATTGCTGACTCTGAGAGGGACGCTTCACAGAATGTGGCTGTGTATCTCATTTGTGTGATTAACCCATTTCACAGATGGAGAAGTTGATAGGGAGGAAAATCAAATAACTTGTTGATACCAGACTCCAAGTAAGTGGCAGGATTTGAACCTAAACAGTCTGATGTTGGAGCCACAATCCTGTCCTCTAAAATATTGTCTGTATATGACAGCCTCATGGAGATATGCAGCCTGTGATCCCACCCTCTTAGGCCATTTTGGGGGGCAGACTAAAACTCCAGCCTGTTTACCTTGCCATCTCTATGTATGAGCAAAGGGAAGGCCACCTTGGCCAGTGGTCTGGGGCAAATGTAGAGACTGCAAAGCCCTTGTCCCTGTGACCTCTAATGACTTGTCCTCCTCACCTTCTCACCCAAGACAACCTTACTGAAGCCCCCGGAAGCACCATTTTAGCAACCCTTCCTTCAAGAGGCTGTGCTTTTCCTGTCTGTCCTCAACATTTCTTTTGCCAGAACAACAGGCTGCTTTCCCTTTTGATAAATCTGGTCACCCTAAATATGGGGCTTGGAGCAAACAGGAGCACTGGCCCCACGCAGCCCTCATTTCCAAATGCAGATTCAAATTGGGCTGCTATTTTGGAGGTCTGGTTTCCTTCCACACACAGTGGTTTTCAGTAAGAGGGGAGGAATCTTGGCAGGGAAAAGGTGTTAGGAGGGAAGATGTACCTGGGAGTCTTTGTTCCTAAGATCCTGGCCCTTGAGAGAAGATCAAATAACAGTCGCACAACAGAGGGAAGTTTGGCATTGGCATCCCCTTCGTTAGTCGTCAGGATCCATGTCAAACAGCCGAAGTCCTAGGAGTAAGGAAGCAGCCTAAGGGTCATCAAGATGGCTCAGCAGGTAAAGGCATTTGCCACCAAGCCACAAGCCCTGAGTCTGACTCCCACAAGTTGTCTTCTGTCCTCCACGCAAGGGTCGTGGCAGTCTCAAACCTACCCACATAATACCACAGAGAACTAACTAAATAAATGTGGCTTAGTAAAAATTGAAACTATGGACGGATAGCCTCCAAAACAATACAGAGAAACCCTGCCTCGTAAAAAAAAAAAAAAAAAAAAAAAAATCGAAACTAATGCAGAGCCGCATTAGGGTCCCGATACCCCCTAAAGGACAGTACCACTGTTGTGTCCAAAATGACAGTCTGTGGTTAGCTCAGGCTGGATGCTGACAAGGAAGGAAACTGGAAGGATGGGTAGTGGAGACAAACGCCTTCTCTCAGCGTTCCTCGGAAACTGTGAGATGGGCTTCTGTCAGCCAGGACAAGCCACTTCCCTATCTCCCCTGCCTGTGGCCAGCAGGGCATCTGGTTCTCTATTGGCAAGTGCCTGCAAGCGCATATCAAAACACATGCTAACCTCTGTGTTCCTTTGGTCCCCATTAACAACACTGTCAGACATACCAAAGCCAGGGCTCTTCTGGCCCGCCAGCCCCGCTCCTGGCTCTTCTTGCCTCCCCCACTCTCACTCCCCCCCCCCATGCGAATTCCCAGGCTCTTCCAGTCTACAGCACCCCTCCCAGCAGATTTCCCTTAAATAAAACTGCCCCTCTTTACACCTGAGATAGCCCTGTGAGATAGCCCTGGCCCTGGCCTTCACCAGTCTGCTACCTTCTCTGCCTCCCCCTCCCCCTCCCCCTGCCCCGTAGCCATGGCAGCTTTGGACTCCTCCAAATGTCTCTGGCTATTCTTTTTCTACAACCTGAGAGATAAACGCCCAGCAGTTTCATCTTTACAATAAACCTTTCTTCTTTGCATCCTCAAAAGTGGTCCAGATCAGTGGTTTCACTGCAGCCTTGTGCTTACAGGCCAAAGTTGCAAACGGGCACTCGGTGCTCAGCTGGGTTCCCTGTGGCCTAACCAGTACCTAAATTAGTGGCAAACACTCAACGACCTGAACAGTTATCCCTGTCTCATCATAACACTTGGCTTGACTCTGCCAGCTTATCTTCTCAGAGGGGAGCTGGCCTAGGTGATCCCGGAGGCCCATTCAGCCATTCACTCATTGCATTCATTCATGCAACAGGGCGGGGTGAGCTCCTATTGTACATGGAGGAAGCCAATGGTTAGAAGATGTACACGACGCCTCTGCCATCTAGACTAGGGCGTGCACCCTGCCAAGTACCCTATGTGCGCTGAGAAACGGTGTGAGGACAGTGAAGGACAGGGAGCTGGCAGAGCCACAGGGAGCTGCCACTCAAGCAGTACCTTGCTCTGTGACTTAGCATAGTTAGCCCCTTGTCATCTCAGGACCTCGGTCTCTCCATCTCTAGAAATGACCTAGTTGGCTTGGAAAACGAACTCGACTCTTCTAGGGCTGGCATTCATATGCTAAGACTCCATGATCAAGGAATGTCTGGCCGGACCATTCCGGAACTGTTCCACTGGATTCCAAGCAATCCCCCTCCTTTCTCTGGCTAGTGCTGGCCAGGAGCAGGCCTTAGAGCTGGCGGCCACAGGGCCTGGGCTCTCTGCCCGGGGGCGGGGCCCTTTTCAGCGTCCCACCCCTTCACCTGGGGCTCAGTTCGGCAGATGTTACAACTTTTTTCGCCCTCTCTTGGGCTGTGTCCCTTCCCAGGCCCGCCCAGCCGATGTCTCCCTCCCCCTTCCCCTGTGGGGTCCTGCCCACCTCCCTGCGGGGAGCACTGCTTTGCGGGGACTCCGGGCGGGGTCAGAAGCTCAGATAGGGGAATTGGGGGTCGGGGAGGGAGGAGAAAGGGAAAGCAGAAGCGGGAGAAATTAAGAGGCGGGAGGGATCGGGGTAAAAAGGCAGCGAAGAGTCCCGGGATGGTGGAGAGCACTTTCGGGACGCCGCCACTCCACGACTCGGGCTGGCCGGGCTGAGCAGGCGGAGAGGGAGCAGGGGCTGCGGGAGGCGACTCAGCGCGGGCCTGACCTTCCTGGGGCGTCCTGCTGTTCCTTCGCGGGTCCCGGACGAGACCCCCGGGGGCTCTCACTGCATCCAGGAGGGCGAGCAGGAAGCGGGGCGCCCTTGGCGCTGGGGGCTCTTAGGCCCTGGGAGCCCCGCTCCCGGGTTCGGCGTCGCGATGCACGCCCTTTCTGGATTCTCCCTGGTCAGCCTGCTCAGCTTGGGCTACCTGTCCTGGGATTGGGCCAAACCGGGCCTCGTGGCTGATGGGCCTGCGGAGGCCAGCGATCAGTCTTCGGCAGCTCCATCACAACCTCCTCACATAATCTTCATCCTCACCGACGACCAAGGGTACCACGACGTCGGCTACCACGGCTCAGATATCGAGACCCCAACGCTGGACCGGCTGGCAGCTGAGGGCGTCAAACTGGAGAATTATTACATCCAGCCCATATGTACGCCTTCTCGGAGCCAGCTCCTCACTGGCAGGTAGGCACGGCCCATACCCGCGGGACTGGGTATCCAAATCTCCAACGCACGCGGCTGGTAGGTTGCAGACCCGCGGAACAGCCCTCCCTGTGCAGTGACCCCAGAAGCAGGTGTCATGGGCTAACTGTGCCTGTGACATCCGTTAGATCATCGGTAAGACCCTCACCTTCTTTGGGCCTCAGTTTCCCAACCTGCATATTCAATGCTTGTGACCTATCCCGCTGTTCTAGGACAATCACGTTCCACACACGTCTGTTCCTTTCTGTGTCAGAGGAATCTTTTACTCTTATTTTGAATTCTTTGTATATTGACAAATGTGGAATCAGTTTAGAAAGAAATCACTTAACTTTCAGTTTCCTTGTTCATAAAATGGAGTGAAGGACAGTTTCTATCTTGAGAAAGAATGGTGAAAGGTGAATGAATTATACCCAGCCTTCCTGACTCTCAATAAATGGCAGCCTCTGTCTTTATTACTGGAAATATTCTGGTCCCATGCCTTTGATGGCTCCATGGGGAGAAGACAAGGAATTGGTGAGATGAGACCTTAGCCTGAGGCAGGCTGCTTCACTTCTCCAAGGCTCCAAGTTTTTCAGGGGAAGAATCCTCCCAAGTTGTCTGGAGAGACCCCCCCCCCCCCGAGCGTTGCACCCTCTTGCAGTGAGCCGTTCCCTGGTGGGGCTGGGAATTACAGAGTGAAGGAGCTGGGAAACAGGAGGGCGCTGTGGAAGGCAAACTCCGTTCACGTAGGAGAAAAGCCTTGAACTGGGCTGAAGCTGATACTCCTTGGAAGGAAACCGCAGCAGCATGCTCTGGGATCCCTACTGAGATCTCAGGGCGGGAGCCCACCTCTCCCTGTTTCCTGGGGAGACAATGAGGCATGGAATCAGTGAGAGGGGTTGCAAAGTCAGATGCTAGGCTGGTGTCAGGGAGCTGGAAATCAAACGGCAGTGTCTTTCCTCCCTTTAGCTGCATCCAGAGTTTAGATCCAGTAACTGTGAAGAGCAGGAAGAGGGAGGGGTGGGAGGTTTGTGTTGCAGGTGTGGCTTGGTAGTGGCGGTAGACCCTGGCACCGGATAGTGCCTAACCCCCTGAAGAGGGAGGAAAATCTGCGTTCTGAGTTTTGCCATTGTGTTTCTCTCCCCAGAGCAACATGACTCTGGTAAGCAGCTGAATGGGCAGCCAGGGCAGCACTCCAGGCTCTTATTGGTGAAGTTAACAGAGCGTTACAGGGCCAGCGGGTGTCTGTCCTCCACCCCTGGCAGCCGTCTCCGTCTGACAGATGCTTACTCCATGGCTTCTGCAGCCAGTCCTGTTCTGTGGACCCGGAGAGAGCCAACGTTTCTCATGTTACTCACTGAGAAATGGACTTTGGCAAGGCTTGGCTGGCCCACCCACATTACAAACCAGGGCTTCAGGCACGCCACCCTGATGCAGAGACACTGACCCAGGAGTCTGGACCCTAGGATTCTTCTCCAGTCAAATCCAATCATTTCTCAGCTTGCCTGAGCCCTGGAGAAGCTGCATCACACAGAGATTTTGAGCATGAGGGTAGACCTGGGTTTAAAACACAGTTCTGTCTGCCAGCTGTCTGACTTCTGGCCACATGGTACACTGCGGGGGGTGGGGGAGGCTCGGTTTTGATATTTGTAGATTTGGGGTTGTGATAATGTTCCGTCCGTCTGTTTTTCAACAGAAGTTTAGGTTGGTAAGATGGATCAGCAGGTACAAGTGCTTGCTGTGTAAGCCTGGTGATCCGAGTTCAATTCCTGGAACCCACTGTGGAAAGAGCGCTCAGTCTGGAAAGTTCTCCTCTGTCTTGACATGTGCATGCAACACATCACACATATAACACACAACACACACATATACACAATATCCTACGCACACCCACCCACACCACACATACACACACAACATACTCACACAACATACTCACACAGCATACTCACAACACACACATATACCACACATACACACACAACACACACATATACCACACATACACGCATATTACACACAACACACACACACACACAAAATACACACACATAGTGCAGGAGAATTAAATGAAATAGTGGCACAGTCTTAAGAATGGCCCTAAGATAAGGAAAAACTGGGATCATATACCAAGTACTCAGGCTTTGGCTAACTCAGCAGCCTAGGGGTCAGGAAAGGTATGGGATTCTAATTCCCTTGTCACATTCCAGTTGGCTGATTTACTTGCAACTTTTAAGATACCTTAAACAAATCACAGGAGTCTCTGGCCACAGCAGCGGAAGATGTGATGTGAATGTATGAAGGAAACCCAGGATTCTGTTAGGCATTTACTGCGGTGTCTTGGCCTGTGTGTAAGGGCTTGGGCTCACAGTAGGCACACCAGGCATGAGGGGCTGGTCTCCATAAAACCTGGGAGTAGGGTGCCTCTTAGGGATTTCCCATCCCAGCCGGCTCACTCATACTTGTAAACATCAACTGGTCCCACGTGTGAGGAGGTGTGCAGCGTACTTTGCTTGAAAACACTGCTGCTCAGACTGTTTGAACTCACGTTCAAGTCTCAGCCATGTCCCTGACTGCTGAGTGACCCTGAGCAAAGCCCCTTCCTTCCTCTGACCTTTATTGTTGCTTTTTAAATTTTTTTATTTGGTTTTATTTTGTGTGTGTTGGTGTCTTGCCTGCATGTATGTCTGTGTGAGGGTATCAGATCCTGGAGTTACGGACAGTTGTGAGCTGCCATGTGGGTGCTAGGAATTGAACCTGGGTCCTTTGGAAGAGCAGCCAGTGCTGTTAACTGCTAAGCCATCTTTCCAGCCCCTGTTGCTGCTTGTTTTTTCTGGCTCCATACTGTCTGAATTGATTCATTCATTTGCTCATCCATCCATCCATCCATCCATCCATCCATCCATCCATCCATCCATCCATTCCATAAGTAACTGAGTGGACTTTAAGTATCACTGGGATGCTCAGAATACAAAGACAATCTATTCTGTTTCATTCTACCCAAGTATATACAACTGTAGTCCCAGGACCAAGTAGACACTGAAGATGTGCACCAAATCCCTGGTTGGGAGGGGAGGAAGAGGACCAAGAAACAAAGTAACTCCTTCTTTGAGTGAGTTTTAAGAAATTATAGAGGGAGTAATACTGTGGTGGCTTCCAAGGAGGAGGAGTTTGCCTGGGAGACCAGGATTTGGTCTACCCAGGCTCTGTTCTAAACAGCTTAGGGCTCAGGGACTCGGGTCTGGAGCCTCTCTCTGCTGGGATACTAGTCATACTAGTCACACGAGTCATCGAACTTAGTTTTCTTATTTGGGAAGTGGGGATAATAAGGTGTCTTTCCTAGTTTGTGATGAAGGTTTGGCGAGCAGGATTCAAAGAGAGTGATGCTGAAACACACAGCTCAAGAACTTGTTATTAGCTCTTACTGCTGTCATTAACAAGCCTGGTTCAACTCACCAGCATTAGCTTCCTTCCTGGCTGTGTGGTCCAGGGTAGTGGCTTAACTGTTCTGAGATGCGGTTGTTCTGTCTCATCAATAAGCTGGCAAACCTACTTCATTGATGTGAAGATTTGAGATAATGTATTGTAGGTGCTTAGCTCTTTGACAGTATCTGGTGCTTTTGTCACTGCTCTTGTTGGTGCCGGGGGTTGGTTATCGGGAGCAGTGGTCCGTAGCTCACTTGAATTTCCCATGTGTCCATCCTCTACCCCCAGGTACCAGATCCACACAGGATTGCAGCACTCCATCATCCGCCCACGCCAGCCCAACTGTCTGCCGCTGGATCAGGTGACGCTGCCCCAGAAGCTACAGGAAGCGGGGTACTCCACCCACATGGTGGGCAAATGGCATTTGGGCTTCTACAGGAAGGAGTGCTTGCCTACCCGCAGGGGCTTTGACTCCTTTTTGGGCTCCCTCACGGGCAATGTGGACTACTACACCTATGACAACTGCGACGGCCCAGGGGTTTGTGGTTTCGACCTGCATGAGGGTGAGAGCGTGGCTTGGGGTCTCAGTGGCCAGTACTCCACCATGCTCTACGCCCAGCGTGCCAGTCACATCCTTGCCAGCCACAGCCCTCAGAAGCCCCTGTTCCTCTATGTGGCCTTCCAGGCAGTACACACACCCCTACAGTCACCTAGGGAGTACCTGTACCGCTATCGCACAATGGGCAATGTAGCCCGGCGCAAGTACGCAGCCATGGTGACCTGCATGGATGAGGCTGTTCGCAACATCACCTGGGCCCTCAAGCGCTACGGTTTCTACAACAACAGCGTCATTATCTTCTCCAGTGACAATGGTGGCCAAACTTTCTCAGGAGGTAGCAACTGGCCCCTTCGAGGACGCAAGGGCACTTACTGGGAAGGTGGTGTGAGGGGACTGGGTTTCGTCCACAGCCCCCTGCTCAAGAAAAAGAGACGGACCAGTCGGGCCCTGGTGCATATCACGGACTGGTACCCAACTCTGGTGGGACTGGCGGGTGGCACTACATCGGCAGCTGATGGATTGGATGGCTATGATGTGTGGCCAGCCATTAGCGAGGGCCGGGCCTCGCCACGCACAGAGATCCTACACAACATTGACCCGCTCTACAACCATGCCCGGCATGGCTCCTTGGAGGGTGGCTTTGGCATCTGGAATACAGCCGTCCAGGCTGCTATCCGGGTGGGAGAGTGGAAGCTGCTCACCGGAGACCCAGGCTATGGTGACTGGATTCCACCACAGACGCTGGCCTCCTTCCCCGGCAGCTGGTGGAACCTGGAGCGGATGGCCAGCATCCGCCAGGCTGTGTGGCTCTTTAACATCAGTGCTGACCCTTACGAACGAGAGGACCTGGCTGGCCAGCGACCTGATGTCGTCCGCACCCTGCTGGCTCGCCTTGCTGATTATAACCGGACGGCCATCCCTGTGCGGTACCCAGCAGCGAACCCTCGGGCCCATCCGGACTTTAATGGGGGCGCTTGGGGGCCCTGGGCCACCGATGAGGAAGAGGAGGAGGAGGAGGAGGAGGAGGAAGGCAGGGCTCGAAGTTTCTCCCGGGGCCACCGCAAAAAGAAATGCAAGATTTGCAAGCTTCGATCTTTTTTCCGCAAACTCAACACCAGGCTGATGTCCCACCGGATCTGATGGCTGGGCGTGGCAGGGACTCCCAGCTCCCACTCCGATACTGTCCCATTGCTGCGTCTCAGGGAGAAGACCAAGGTCAAGTCTCATCTGCAGGCGTGTGGAGGGAGCGCACAGAGCCCCTTAGCTGGATCTTATGGAGCTTGGGGGGAGGGCACCAAGCAGGCAGGGATGCCTGGGTCTCTGTCCTGCCGCTCTCCTGACGTGTTTGTTCTGTGACCTCCGGTTACCTCCATTCTGCCTTGGTCTCCTCGCCTCTAAAATGAGCTCTGGTGCCTTTATGGCTCCAGTGTACACCTGTGACTGGGGCCATGGCAGACCTTGCCGACCTCATCACCTTCCAGACAACATGAGTCAGTGGCCTTCATTCCAGGTCTCTGTGGTGCTACTGGACATCGACTGGGGCATGGCTGCTCGGTCAAAGGACTCAGTGAGAGCAAACAGTATAGGGTATGGGAATCTTTACATCCCCAGAGCCCCGGGATGTGGAAGCTTAGTGGAATACAGCATCCAGGGGAACCTGGCTGGGCCCTGAGCAGCCGCCTAGTGAGGTTGGGAGGGGGGAGGGGGGAGGGGGGGACACAACTGTGAAAAGAGTCTTTGAACCAATCATCTCCTTTGCCCTTGGGCACAGTCCTTTCCCCCAGGGCCTTGACTTCCCTACTTGCTAAGGGGTGGGGGAATGCTAGCCCTGGCTTGGCCTACCTCACACTGCTGTAGAAATCTGGCCAAGCTAATGGCTGTGGAGGAGACTGTGAACTTGATTAAAGTGCCATCACCCACAGGCAAGAGATGCTGGTCCATGTGTGTGCACATGTGTGTCCTGGGGAGCCCCGTGTGAGCTCACAGCTGGCAAAGGGAACAGGAAGGAAGGTGGGAAGAGAGTCCTCCCGCGGGTTCACCGTGTGGCTGCAGGCCAACCCCTGGCCCTCTCTGGGCTACAGTGTTTCTCTGCGTACGGTAGATGATCCAAGAGTCTTTACTTTCAGTTGTTCTGGGCACCACCGTGCACGTTTGCATCTGGGGGGGACCCAGGCTCGGTAGTGGCGAGGAGGGGGTGGCGTGTGTAAAGCCTGATTGCTGCATGACACGGCTCGATCCGCACACTGCGTTCCGCACGGTTCCCTCCAGGTTCCAGTCGGCGCAGTGTGTGTAGGCGAAGGCCCTGCTGTGAATTTTGAAAATAGTTATTTTTGTCACTGGCAAAGGAGGCCTGTTAGGACTCGTCAGCTTGTGGATGAGCGGGATGGGTGGGGTGGGGTGGGGTGGGTGCAGAGCTGTGGGGGTTTGGGTGCTGGTTGCAGGACTGCAACACCACAGCAGTGACTGAATCCTGAGTGAGGGCCTGGCCTGGGCTGCAGGGAGGAGGTGACCATTGCATTCTAGGTGCTTCCTTATAGCCCTGAACTTTTTTTCCCCTCCCCTAAGATCTATTTTTATTGATGTGTAGATGTGTGCATTTGTGTGTGGGTATCATAGTGAATAAAGTGCCCACAGAAGCTAGAGGCCTCAGACTCTCCTAGAGCTGGAGTTACAGGGGGTACAAGCTGTCAGACGCGGGTGCTGGGAACAGAACTTATGCTCTCTGGAAAAGCAGCGGGTAGTCTTCACTACTGAGCCATCTTTCCAGGCCCAGCCCTGTTTTGCTTTTCCCCATCTCCCTCACCTGTATGGCTTCTCTTCCTTGGCAATGTGGATGCCCAGAAGGCAGGCAGGGCCCGGGACTGGCAGAGGTCTCTGGGCTACTGTGGCTGTGTCATTTTTGCCTGTTCAGGAGGGGAGCTCTGGAAAGGATACTTGATAAGGTGATGCCTTAGCCTGGTGTACCTCCTAGGGGCTATTCACAGTCTGCCCGCTGCCCAGGACACTCCAGGCCTGCTGAGGCCTGTTCTAGCTATGCCCGCTGGCTTGCCACTCTGGCACAAAGCCCAGGCTTCCCAGTAGATACAGGCTCTATGGCTGCTTCTCTGAGGACGACTGAAGGGTCTCTGGCTGACAGGACTTTCCAGTGTCCATCCCCATCATCTACTTCCCTTCTGAGGACCCCTTTGGGACCACAGGAGCAGGACCATACATGGCGCTTCCTGTTCTCCCCTGGCCTCCAAGTTCTAGTCCCTGCAGTCAGTCCTGCCCCAAAATATAAGGAGTAATTGGTGCTAGGGCTGGTGTCTGTTTCTGAAGCCTCCCTTGGTTCAGTCTTATACTCAATGCAGAAATCAACAAAATCTAGGTTCTCCTCAACCCAGATGCCAGCATAGTGCAGGAACTACTCGAACTTCAGTCTGCAACCCGGTCCCCAGGCATGAGTGGGGCAGCTAGTGCCTGAGGATGATGGTCTTTGTGGTACTGTACTGAGAGGCCCAGCTTAGCAGTCAGCATGCTCACTACGTGTTCCCTGCTATGATCTGGGCTCCCGCTCACTGAGCACACCTGAGTCTATACTACATGCCGGCTCCCAGTTGACGACCGTCTTTGAGTTACTATCGTGATGAAACACCATGACCAAAAGCAACTTGGGGAAGAAAGAGTTTATTTTTCACTCGAGGCTTCTTATGGTAGCTCATCATTAAAAGCAGTGAGTGTAGAAATTCAAGCAGGGCAGGAAGCTGGCGACCAAAGCGGATGCAGAGGCCGTGGAAGGGAGATGCTTACTGGTCTGCTCCTTGTGGCTTGCTTGCTCAGCCTGCTTTCTTACAGACCCCAGGACCACCAGCCCAGGGATGACGGCACCACCCACAGTGGGCTGGGCCCTCCCCCGTCAATCACTAATGAGAAAATGCCCTACAGCCTGGTCGTATGGAAGCATTTTCTCAGTTGAGGGTCGCTCCTTTCAGATAACTCTATCTTGTGTCAAGTGGACTTAAAACTAGCTAACACAGCACCTCTAGGCTTTTGCTTATGTCACCCGAGTCCCTTTGGAGAGGATAGAGTGGAAGGGCACCCCAAAGCAGTCCCTAGGTCAGGCCTTCTCTGGGGCCTCTGTTTCTCCCTGGGCTGGATTACACTGAGTAGACCTGTAAGCCGGAGGAGTGAAGTTCAGGTGGGAACCTGCTTTAGCGTCTAATGACCGGCGCCCCAGCAGCCAGGAGGAGCCCTGCACCTACCTGCCTGGGCCAGGGCTGTATCTCCTTTTCTTCCAGGCACTTCTGACTTCCCTGTAACACAGGCTAGCATCCTGGCAATGCCAGGAAGGGGCGGCGCTCCGGGAGCCAGAAGCTCCAGGCTATTGCCCTGACTGCCACTAACTCGCGCACCCATGAGAGGGCAGCCTCTACTCTCCGTACCTTGGCTCTGAGGGATATGTGGCCCCTAACGGTCTTCTCAGCTCTTTATGGGGGTTAATAATGCAGGGCAGGGGTGGTTATAGTCTCACAGACCTGGATTTGGTCCTTAGGTATGTGCCAAGTAAGTACTGTCATGGCTCTGAGGAATGGGACCACTGCATTTACCACATTGCTCTAAGGCCCAAAAAGCATTGTGGAAAAAATGCTTAGTGCAGAGCCTTACTCCAACGTAGGAGTAACTGCTTTGGGGCCCAAGAATGAGTGTTTTGTCCCTGACCTTCCCAGGAGGAAGTGAGACCCCTTGGGAAGCGCTGTTTCCAGCCATCCTAGCATAGATAGGAACGGGACCTCTAACTGCAGGATGTGCATCACTGTCCCCCTCAGGGAGGGCCTCTGCACGAGACACTTCAGGGCACAGTGCTGCTTCCTAGCCCTCCTCTCTCAGGCCTGGCATGACTGCATACAGCCGTAACTCAGTTGCCCTCTACCCAGACCCTCACAACATCCCTTCTCTCCTGGCCCAATTTCTACTGAGCCTGCCCCCCACTTTTGCTGGCCTTAGTGGGACAGGCCCCATGGGGATCATTCCGATGGCACGTTTTCTGCGGTGCGTGTTCAGGCCCTGCAAGACCCTGTGACGTTTAGTATATGCATGGGAGCACACGGAGGGGCTGTCACAGTGTCATTAGGGCTCCCTCCCATCCTTCCCTTGTCTCTTGGAACTCAGCCCAGATCCCTTCTGTGTCTCCCACCGACACAAGGCACTGTCTATGTTCATGGCCAATCTCTTTCTGGCATTACCATGCTGGTTCAGCAAACTTCAGGGTTCCCACCCCTGGCCACCAGCCCACGGCACACAGGCCCGTGCTTGAGTCCTGCATGCGGGTTGCAGATGGTGTGCACGTGCTGGACTGTCATGCCTACTGTGGCCCTGGGGAGTGGGAAGTCTGGCAGAACCAATCTCCCCCCACCCGTGCAATCATCAGCTTAGCCTCGTTGCCACACAGGCGTGGCTGATTCCCGATGCCCGCCACCACTAGGCACAGCTGCCAGCTTTGTGGGCAGAGGATGTGGTGAATTAGTGCTCATGCCTCCTCAGTATGCAGGTGTCCATCAAAGCCAGTGCCTGCACCCCTGGACTAGTCTCCAGGAGGTCCCAAGAGGTATGCGCACATGCAGGTGTAAGACACACCTCCACAGCCTACTCCTGTCCTGCTAGTTCTCTGACATCAGGTGGGCCTAAGGTGCCAGGACCTGCCTCTCCCCTAGGCTTGCATGCACAGGAGAGAAAGGTGTCAGCGAGAGAGAAGGGGCAGGGAAGGGAGGGTGCCAGAGAGGAGGGCATGAGGGAGAAGGAGGGGGAAGGGAGCTGGAATCGGAAGAACAAACAGACATGGTGACCGCAGTGGTGTTAGGACCCTGTGGTCCTTCTCAGAGGCAGGCAGGTATCAGGCTGGACATGCCTTCACACGCTCACCCCGGGTTCTTCTAAATACTTTGCTGGCCTCTGAGCCAAACACTGCATTTCATCTGTGGGGAGCGACCGGAGCAGTAGCCAGGCCAGCACTAGTTGGAGAGGATGGCCACCTCTGTTCGCAGGGTTACATTTCCATGGTTACAGCTTTAGCAATTCCCTTTAGTGTTCTACTGATTTTAAAGCAGTTGCCATGCCCTTGGGCCCTAATAAATGAGGGTCCCAGTGACCTCTTTTTTTTTTTTTTTAGTTTCTGACGTTTATTTTGCAAGAATTATTGCCAATAAGGCCAACACCAGGCAATGTCTACCATGAGCTAACCTCCAGCAAGGTCTCAGAGAACAGTGCCCCAAGTGCTTCCATGGTTCAGGGAGGAGCAAGAAAGGATTTCTAGCTCCTTAATAATAATCCCTCCTGTGTCAGCCACTGAGTTCATCTCATTTAAGCCACAAAACAGCCTTGCAGGTGAGGAACATCATTACCCAATTTTGCACTTGAAGAGGTCCAGAGAAGTCAAAAAACCACAGCCTGTAAATCATGTAGCCGTGAATAATTGATCAACACTGTTTCCCCTGGGCAGTGGCTGGATGGTCCCAGGGATTCTCCTGGGACCAGGCTAGAACAGTGATTCTAAACCCTTGGCTTATGACTGCTTTGGGGGTCGGATAATCCTTTCACAGGAGTCGCCTAAGACCATTGGAAATCACAGGTATTTACATTATACTCCATGACAGTAGCAGCATTTCAGTTAGGAAGTAATTTTATGGTCGGGGTTCGCCACCACACAAAGAGCTGTATTAAAGGGCCGCAGCGTTAGGAAGACCGAGAACCGCTGGGCTAGAGGATCTGAGGCAGGAGGATGGAAAAAGAGCTCACCCCACCTCTGCCTTCCTCCGCTACCTCCAGCCTTGGCCACAGTGTTCCGTGCCTGCTTGCTGCCCACAAGCTGTGCAGCCCTGTGTGCACAGGCCTCTCCGCTCTGCCTCTGAATTGCCACGTTGGCGGCAGAAGCGGGAAGTATATTGTGCGCAGAAACAAAACGGAGTGGTTTTTCCTTTTCTGAAGGTGGTAATGGTGCAATTAGTGGCTAAGCCATTACCCCCTCCTCCCTGGCTTGCCTCCCTCCCCTCCACGCCTCCCCTTTTTTCTTTCCTGAGAAAAGTGGTTGAATTGAAGAGCTTTCCCTCAATCTTCCACTGACTCTCAGGAAGAGGGACAGGGGGGCCCCCTGATGTCTCTAAGGCCCCCTACCCTCAGGCTCTTGTTGGTGTTGGGGAATAATGGAAGGTACCACTATGTCCATAAGTGAGGTAAATGATATAGGGATTTATGGATTCTGATGGGTGAGTTGGAAGCTGAGAGAATTTGAATTTCCAGGTCCTTTTATCTGCCCCTTGCTCAATGGGGACAAATGCTGGCATGAGACCTCTACATAGCCACCTGTGAGACATGCTGAGGCACCTTTTTTTTCTTTGAAAGGAGGGCCAAAGACTGAGCTGCATTGTGGGAGTGGTCATGAACTCAGTTTAAAACTTCCTTTTTTGCTTTCTAGACACTGAGAACCATTCAGGTTTGTCTACTTCCCAGAGCCCATTTATGGCCCTTAGGCTGTTCCATCCTTATGGGAGTCTTCTGCAAGCATGACTTTTTTCCTATTGTCTAGAAAATGATATGGGGACTCAGAGAGCTTCCTCCACGACTTGCCCAAGCTCACACAGCTAATAAGTTCCAGAGCTGGAACTTGAACTCAGACCCCTAGTTTTAAATTCCATGCTTTGGGGCGTCATTTGTGGCTACAGGTATGGTTGGTATACTGCAGAGGTGAGGTCATCAGGGAAGATGACTAGAGTTTGGGAAAGAAGCTTCCAGGACAGGATATGTCCATGCCACTGGCCCAGGCTGGGTGAGCCAAGCAAGGCTTACCTCATTATAGTTGCCTCTCTCCAGTCCTACCTTGACACGAAGCAGAAACTGGGACATGAGCCCCGGGAGATCAAATCTGCATGGTTCCTCTAGGGGCATGGGTGGGGAGAGCTTGCGGAAGAGGCCTCAGGAGGGCCCCAGCTGCACAGGGGTGACACATAGGGGTGAGAAAGCAGCCAGAACCATTCCCAGAGTCCTGGGTCCTGCTCTGCACGTCTCCAAGCTAGAGTGACAGTGTGATACACACAGTTGCTAAAAGGCAGAGAGAGCAGGAGCAAAATAAGGGCAGAGGCAGAGACCAAGTCAACCAGACCAAATCCCAGAGGGAGCAGAGAAACTGCAGAGACTCCAAGGGGGGAGGGAAGGGGAGAGATGAATTAGCCATCATTCCCCTGTAAACCTTAGAACCCAGCTGTTGCCAGGGCAACGGGGCAATACCTGTCTTTCTAGAGGAGATGAAGTTGCCAGGGTAACTACATCCTGTCTTTCTCAAGGACCATCCCAGAATGTGGCACCCACTAGCCGTTACCATAGCAACTGCCTCTTTGCCCCACTTAATCCCATCCCGTCTGTTAAAAGGGCCCTATAGTTGGAGGTGGGGGAGGTAGGAAGAGCGAAGATCACTTGTGGACTAAGTTTGTTCTCTTCCCCTTCTCCATCCCCCTCGGCACATCACCCTGGGAAAATGGGGTCCACTTGCTCCCGGGCCCACACAGTCCTGCAGTATTGTGTATTTGGGGCCAGGGCAACACAGAAGCAGGTTTTGAAGTGGAAGGCAGGCAGGTGTTGGGGAGGCAGTTACCGGGGCAACGGGAACAGGGCGTTTCGGAGGTGGTTGCCATGGGGACCTGGAGGCTGACGAAGGCTCGCGAGGCTGTGAGCAGCCACAGTGCCCTGCTCAGAAGCCCCAAGCTCGTCAGTCAAGCCGGTTCTCCATTTGCACTCAGGAGCACGGGCAGGCGAGTGGCCCCTAGTTCTGGGAGCAGAGCAGCAGCATCCCAGTCCTAGTTCCCAGCCTAAAGCCTCGCCTGCCTGCCCAGTGCCGGGATGGCCACCATCACCTGCACCCGATTCACAGAAGAGTACCAGCTCTTTGAGGAACTAGGAAAGTGAGTCACACCTCAGGGAGTCTTGGAGGGCATGGGATCATCCTCTGTGGGCAGGGGGTGTGTGCCTATGTGCCCAGAGCTCTCCCGTGCATGCAGAGGGAGGCGTGCTACATGGTTTGGGGACACCATGTGTGCACAGGGTGTCCAGAGTCAGGCGTTGACACATTTATGTGCCCATCTAGCCAGGTTGTGTGTGTGTGTGTTGAAAGGGTAACAGTTTGGTGGTATATGCACACGCCTGTGTATGTAAGTATACATGACCCGGGTACACAAAGATTCTTAGAAACTTGGGGTTTTAAAGGGACTTGGCTGAGTCCAAGCTGGAATCTTTCTGTAGTTGAACTTAGACACCTGCAGTGATTGAGAGTTCATCATCTCTTGCCTGGAGATCCTGACTTTAGACACTGTACAGAGTGGCACATCCTCTCCCCCTTTCCCAGTTCCCTGCCAGGAACAAGGGCTTCAGGACCGAAGGGGTTAACATGAAAGAGATTGTGATGTCGGGAGGAGGGGAGGAACAACCAGCAAGCTGGGGGATGCCACTGTGGCAGCAGCGGCACAAAAAAATGGTGATCCTTTGGCAAAGTTACCCTCCGTGTTGTGCCTCTGGTGTTGCGGAGGGTGGGAAGGAGAAAAGGAAAGATTTCTTAGGGTAGATCAGAAGGCTACAGATATAAGATGTTCCTAGCTGGGCTTCTGGGGGTCCTGGGATGGATCAGGAGTTGGGGAGCAGTTTGGTAGGGTGCTCCACGGACACAGAAGTGCCCGTACCAGCCCTGTTTGGTTCCTGCTGTAGCAGCAGGAGCATGAGACTAAGGGCCCCTGTGAGCAGATGTGTGCCAGTGTGAGACCGGGAGGTACATGTGTCAGTGAGCATTTTTGAGAGAGACTAAATGTGGTTTTCATGGGAAGCAGATGGAGTTGTGTAAGAACTGACACTGGGCACAGTGTGAACGGAAAAGGCACGCAAATTCTGCTGCAAGTACGCCACGCAGAGATAGATGTGCAAGTGTGTCATCTGTGCGGAAAGCCTAAAAATGTCAGTGTGCCCTGCAAGGGTGCATGTGTGCAATTATGCAAGAGATGCTCTAGGTTAGATTGCAGCGAAGGTGTGGACATGCATCTGTGTGCACATGTGTGGCAGGACAGAGCTATGTGAATATCAGTGAATGTGTGTATGTGTGTAAAGTGTATAAGGTCACAGATGAGAAATGCGGACAGAATATGTACAGGAAGTGTGTGTGTGTGTGTGTGTGTGTGTAAAGTGTATAGGGTCACAGATGAGAAATGTGGACAGAATGTTCTTAAGTGTGCATGTATCTTGAGGAATATGTACAGGAAGTGTGTGTATGTGTGAGTGCATGCACACATACACACACACACATGCCTGTGTGAGGCATGGACTTGTGTGGGTGCTTTGGCGATGTGTGAGCTTATGCTGGTGTCTGCATATGTGTGGGAGGTGGACTTATGATTATGTATAAGCATAACCTCTGAATACACACACACACACACACACACACTCAGACTATTCAGACACCTACACATACCCCAGCTCCCTTGTGCAAATGTGTGTTCACATTTGTCTCCAGACTTCCTGCTCTTTTGCGTGTCTTTGCGTTGGACATGGGGGACAGGAATACAGTTTTTGAAGTCTGCTCTGGCGGACTGTCTTAACTTTATCTGGAATCCCTTTCCAGAGAATGTCTAGTGTTCACCCGGAACCTAATGGTTTCCTGAATGGACTGGAGCCGCCTTTCAGGAACCCCCAAAGCTGCTTCTGGCATGACTGCGTCACAGAGCAAAATGAAATGGAGCTGAGCTGTGACTACAGTGATCAGAGTGACACCAAAGTGCTTTTTTGCCCTGATAAGAGGTGGGGATCATCAGGACTGGGCTCATTTGCCTGGCTTGACCTTCTTAGCACCCCCTGCCTGCCTGGATGCTAACAGGCACTAGGGTAGGGGTAGAGCTTTAAGGTACAGGGAACAGTGCTTCGGCCGTGGCAGGAAAACCAAGGGTGGCAGGGATGCCCAGGCCTTGTCCAATCAATTTCAGACCTCTTCCTTCCAGAACTATTGGTGCTCTTAACCTTTTTTAGGTCATTTATTCCTCCAGGAATCTGATGAAAGTCTAAATAGACATTCCCTAGAAAAATGCACAAACCTGCAAAATGTTGCATGCGGTGACAGGGCTTGTGAGACCGCGGGAGACCGTGCATGACCCTGTGCTTGAAGATGCTCGTGTAAAGGAAAAGGGGCTGTGGTGGGCCAGCGTTGTGGCTTGGGTATCTGTGTGACGCAGGCCAGCGTGCCCTGTGGAGGAAGAGTCCGATGGCTTTTGCTCCTCACCTTAGCCTTAGTCCGAACTAAGGTGGGGATGTTCAGGGAGACGCTTATCTCTGTGACACTGGGTGGGCTGCCACTCTTTCTGACCAGCAAGCTGGAACTTTGAAGAGCTGTGAGGGTTGTATAGATGGTGTGTGAAGACATAGCCTCAAGCCTGACACACAGTGGGTCTCTGGAGGATGTTGCTGACCCAGTGGCTGCTGTCCTCAAAGACTGGGCTGGCCTAAAGGAGGAGGCAGAACCTTCTCAAGGTTTATCTTTTGTGTAGAGGGTGTCCTGTTTAGGGGAGATGGTGGCCAAGACCTCCTTGGGCTCTTATTCCGTGATGGAATCAATGAAGAAGTTGGAAGGGTTCACCCTTCAGTTGATCATGTGTCCTCTAGCTAGGACACTGAGTGGTCACCCAGATGCTGTGCCCTCATCCAGAACTCTGTCCCCATAACCAGCCTGTTACCTAGCTCTGCTGGGCCTAAAAAGAGACTTTGCTTGACCTCTGTCAGGGCTCTGGGTTGACACAGCATAGAAGAGGGCTAGCACTTTAGCAAGACTTACTGGCTTTCTGCCCAGTGAATACTGACTTGTCACCAGTGGCCTTCGAGGAGCCTAGGTGTAAGCAGAGATTCCTCTCCCAGCCTGATATAGCTCTGGATAGGAGTTTTTAGAACTTCTAGATGCTACCACACTAAAGACCCCCCTCCATTCCCTGGCACTGAAGCACATAAATTCAGAGGAGTTGATGGGGCTGTTTCTAGGTACCCTGAGGTGATGTCACTCCTCTCTGCCTCTCTGGGATGGAAGTCATAGGAGCGCTCGCTTGGAGTGGGCTACAGTGCCAGCTGCAGGACCAGAGTGGTCCAGGGTAGCCCTCAGCATTCCCTTCCACTCACCCATCCTTCTCTGACGTCCAGGACCAACAGAAAGGCAGGAAGGGTGGTAGTGGGCGTGGGGGTGGGTAAGGGGGAAGCAAGGGAAACCCTAGCGACCTCAGGCAGGCCCGGGGTAGGAAGCCTCCTCCAGTCATAGCGACCTCAGGCAGGCCCCGGGGTAGGAAGCCTCCTCCAGTCATTGCCTCCCCAGGCCTCCATCTGCCTGACCTGCAGAGATGACTGAGGCAGAGACGCGGTCTGTGGGCCTACAACTGCTACTCTGGGCAGAAGGAGCCCCAGGAGGGGGGGAGAGAGAGAGAGAGAGAGAGAGAGAGAGAGAGAGAGAGAGAGAGAGAGAGAGAGAGAGAGAGAGAGAGAGAGAGAGAGAAAGAGAGAGAGAGAGAGAGCTCAGCCCACTCTTTTCTCTCTAGAAACAGGGATCTGAAGTTGACTCAGGCAGCGCAGGGTAGGGGAGACTGTTGGGAGTGTGGGTGGCCGCAAGGTTGACAGACACCTGGGGGCTGGTCCCTGAGCCCAAGCCCCTTCCTCCACAGCTCTTCATGCTGTACCACACTTGGGTGGGCGGAACTGTGGGTGGTGGCCTGGCTTAGAGGCAGCTGCCTGCACCGGGCTTCTAGGTGCCGGATGTACAAGGCCCCTTTGGAAGGCAAGTTCCAGTGCATGGTAGCATGTACTTGGCCATTTCCCCCTGCCCTGCAGAGCTGGACGCAGAAGGGGCAGGGTCGTGGTGAGAGGACACTAAGGCACCAGAGCCTCACCTAGAGTCAGGGTTATTCTGTACCTAAGTCCTCCTACCAGCACCGCTGGGCCTCATGGTACCCTTCCATCCGTTAGCTTATGCCCGAGGGAAGTGGGTGGGGCTTAGTCATCCATTTTACAGATGAGCAGACTGGCCCTACAGGAGGTGGCAGGAAGGCTCTAGGGACTATGGCCTGGCCCCTGCAAGGTTGCTGAGTAAGGCTCCGTCTGGTGCTGCATCTGTGAAGGCGTTTTCTTCTTGCCCATGAGCCAAGGAAAGGGGGCAGTGGTCTTGTTAGTGGTGGCGGGGGACAGTGAGGGGGATAATGACGAAGTGTGCTCACTTTCTGGCCACACTTCGGCCTTGAGTTTACGAGGATACCTTGGGTGAACCACTTTTCTTTGTTTTCTTTAGCTTTACTGTCAGTAAAATGGGGGGTGTCTGAAATGCTGCACTCTGTGGCCCCCCTCAGGGGAGAAAAACTGTAGATCCTGCGCTCCCACACTGAGTGGGCTGTGGAGACTGTCCACGCACTGCAAAGATGGAGACACCTCACAGAGGAGACTGATTCATCTGAGGCTACAGGAGGCTACCGTGAGAGGGACCAGAGAGGATGGGAAACGGGGAGACAGGACCTGGATGGCAGGGACAGGTGCAAGACGGGGAAGGGACAGCCTTTCCTGGCTTCTCCGCAACAGCGAGCAGGCACATGCTCTGTGCATGCTGCAGCCCTCCGCCCCCGCACAGGCGCCCCCACACAAGCTGAGACACACTGACACTCTCCAAGCCTCCTCCCTCCCTCCTGCCTCCCTCCAAGGCACAGTGACACTGCTGTCAGCAGTCCCCGCAGCCTGGAGCTGCAGCCCTCTGTGTGGTGTGAGGGGAGCCCTCTGGACCAATGTGTGTGTGCGTGCACACACACGCACGCACTCTCGCATGCACGTGCACGCACACACACACACACACACACTGGCACAGAACATATAGCATGAATTCACCTTCCAGGGAAGGGACAGTAAGATGTCA